TTTTTTTTTTTTTTCTCTTTTGTTACTCGTGAGATATCACAACACAATTTGTTAGTTCGTCATCGAGGAGAGAAAATAAATGAATGTGCTAGCTTACCGATTTTTAAACTTGACATATTCCTGCATGCAAGCTTCGAAATTTTACGTCGTTATACAGCTTGTTTTCCCCCACCCCGGCACGCATCCATGAACAGGAGCGACTAGAGCGTATAGGGGATTGAGTCTTTATGGGGAATCGGGTCGAACGAAGGGGGACCTGGAAATTAGGGAAAGACAGGACGAATCGTAGAGAACTCCATCCACCGAGGGGGCTTTCGTCACAGTTACGCCGTCCATAAGCATCGAACACGAAAATATGACAACACCTTCGTCCACAGTCTTTAATTCCCACAAGCCTGTAGAACGCGTTAATAAGGCCCTCGTGCGCGAAGATATTACAGTATTTTTCGCTTGTTTATTCTTAGATTCATTTATACGACCCCTCCCGTAAAAAGAACAGACCCACCCTTAATCCAAAGACATTGAACGACCATGCGCGCTACTGAGATTATCGTCGCTGCGAAATTGTATTCGAAACGATGCTAGCGCCATGATACGATAATATAATGTCTTGATATGTCTTCGCTCGTGCAATCGATAGGTTACGTTTCACGATTTCTTATTACTTTTATTTACGTTGTTTTTTCTATGATACGTAATCGCGAACTTTTCAAGAAGTCTAAAGTCAAAAATTTAGTCGGCTAAAATTACTTATTTCGATTTGATTTTTCATAATGAGATTGCTGCAACGTTACAATTTTTTACCGTAAAGTTCATTCTCATGAAATAGTCACGCCACTTCCATAAACTATGTAAATTCACTTTTAACGCGAGCAAGCGCTCGTTTAAGTAAGTTGCGTGTGATGCACACGACAACGCGAAATGACATTTAATTGAACCACGGTGATATATATACATAGTTTGTAATTGACATATGTCATGCCCAGTGTTTTTTGTATTAAAGATTAGAAATTTTACGAAATTGTACAAGTATGTGTAATATATATATTTTGTCAGACTGAGAAACGTCATAAAACTGACAGTATTGTATCTACATATGCGGACGTTGTAAAATTGAATTATAACCTACTTGTAATATGTTGCATTTATTAAGAGAGAATTTTGGAAAATTATACTATTTGCGTTAAATTGCTGTATAATTCAGAACAATGGACAACTTATCCGACTCGCTCAAAGGAGAATTAGATTCTGTTACGTCGACAGATTCTCTGCAATTAATAACTGACGAATTTCACATTAGACATTTATCAACGCCGGACGTTTCGAACATAGAGTTATCGAAGCGTGTTGCATTACTAGAGTTGGAGAATGAACGGCTTCGAATAGATTTAGAAAACATGCGTATTGAACTTAATGCCAGAATTGCAGCCAACGAAGGACTCAAAGGCAAAATAACGGAACTGTACGTGGAAATGCAGTTGGTCGTTCAGGAGAAACAAAAATTACAGAATACATTGACAGACGTAAGAAATCATTTAGATGCATCGGAAGCATCTGTAAAATGGTATCAATCTCAAGTATATGATCTGCAAGCGAGCAAGAAAACTTTGCAGTTGGAAATTGATACTTATCAAAGAATTCTGCAGCGCAGACAACAAACAATAGCAAGTATAAATACCAGGTACAAGCAATTGAACGTAGATTATATGGAACTTCTTCAAAAACATCAGAAAGAGAAGCAAGATTTAGAATGTGAGGTACAAAATTTAAAGACGCAAAGTCAGTCGAACAGTATTTCAGAGTCATTGGATGTTAGTACATCCAATTCTCCAGATGTCTCCACGAAGTTAGAATTAACAGAAGATGAACTAAGAGGAACAAGGACTGAATTGAAAACATTGGAAAAACGACTGTTAGGCAATGAAGTTTCCAAAGCATTGATGGAAAACGCTTTGGCTAAGCAACGTATATTGATTGCAACTATGGAAGAAAATGTACAGAAATGTGAAACTGAAAAAAATCAAACTGCTGATACTTTACGTAAGACGCAACTTGAGATTCAAAAGTTGAAATCCGAGAACGAAACATTGCAGACTACTCTGTTTTCTTCCAAGCAGGAACAAAGTCAAATAGAAGATGCAATCTTCCAGTTGCGATTACAGTTAACTAAAATGATTGCACAGTACAAGCTTTTGAAATCAAAAAATGTGGAAGCAGAGGAAAAATTGAATTCCATGCAAGATGTAATGAATGAAAATAAACATTTAAAGACATTATCATATGAAGCTAATACTGCTTTAATCAGAAAACTTAGACAAGAAAAACGGAAAGTTAAAAATTTACAAAATAAACTTCATGGAATTCAAATAAAGGGTCATTTAACCACTATGGTATAAAATGTTGTAGAAATAAAAAAATTTAACATGGAAAAATTATATCTGATCATCTTATAATTATTTTGTTTCAGAAAAATAAAGTGGAAATTTCTTTACACGAGTGTCTAAAACAGGTTTTAATGAGAAATAAAGTAAGTTTCACTATAAATTTTTTATCTCTTTTAATTCAATATTAAAACTTTTTCACAGGATTTAAAAGATCAATTAAAGGCATTAGCAAAAAATTCAGATGAAAGTATTGATGAAGGATATGGTGAAAACAGTATTGTTAGTTCTGTTTCTATAGACATTCCATCACCAAAATCCATCAATCCAGTATTATTAGATGCAGCTTCTAATATTTTGCTGCAATGTAAAGATCTATTTAAACCAATACATACAGAACTTGAACAATTGAAATTAAAACTTAATAAAGTAAAGGAACAATGCACTACATAGTATTCAATTATCTTTTAAGTTATTAATTATTTTTAATCATTCGTAATTCTATTCTATTCTATTCTGTTCTATTATAAATTATTTTATTATACATTCATCAAAGGAGATGGCTGGTTAGTAGAGTTAAATATTCGTTAAAAATTAATTAAATTGTAAATATATTAAATTATTGTTATTCTTATAAATTGACTGTTATAATTGTTCTAAGTTGAAAATTAATTGTATAAATGTTTTATCAAAATTAACAAGTTGTATATTTCTAATCAAAAATAAAAATATTGTTTTATAATTTTAAATAAAAAAAGAATTGATTTACTATCATTAGATTGTATTAATTTAAAAATAATTCAAAATTAAAAAAATATAGATGTATTACATATGTATTTGTAATTTATTATTTTCAATAGATGTTATGAGTTATGCAACAGATGTTATGAGTTAATTTTTCTTAAATGAATGTAAATAGAAAAACCATAAATTTAATTTTGTAAACATTAATGTTATTATAATTTGATTCCCAGTTTCTAGTTTTTTTAATATCCCTTGCAAATTTCTTGATGGTTATACATATGATAGTTACTACACAGATATTATTAAAATATATTTTATAGGTTTTTTTTTTTTAGTAAATAAAAATTATAATGAAATAATAGTTTTTTAAATAAAAAAATTAAAGATATAAAAAATATTAAAATAATATTAAAAAATTAAAGATATAAAAAATAAATAAAAAAATTATTTTAATGTGATATGTAATATATATGAAAACACTATACATGTTGCTATAATTCATTTTATTTTTAATTGGCCATACATTACAATTTTATTCGTGGAAAAATTCCTTTGCTTATTGCATTTAATATTTGTTTAATATTAGTGCAATTTATATATATAACATTTTTCCATTGAATATTTTTATTACATTAGTAGGAAACAAATATCAAGATTACAAAGATTCTATAATTATAAATAGATACTGAATTCTCAATTTTTAATTTTCTGCATAAATATTTATGTACATGTTTATAAAATAAGCGTAGTTAAAATTATACTTTTCTTTTCTCAAAAATATCACAGATAAATATAATATCAATATAAAGAAAACAATAAAGTTTTGCTTTAAATATATTGAACTAAATATAAGTTCTTTGGTACATGTAAATAAATATTATGAAAAATAAATACGAAAATAAGAAAACATTCTTTCATGCTGATTTTAAAAATATATTTAATTTATTTTAGCTTTTTATCTATTTTAAGAGAATGTAAGTTTATTTAATATAATGAAAATTTTGTTGTAATCAAGTTAAAAATTTTCTGGTTAAAAGATTTTCAAGTTAAAAGATCTTTCTTTAAAAATAACTAATATTAGAAAAAGTATTTGTATATATAAAACATAATATAAGCAAATAATTATTTAATATATAGATTTCATTATAATTTCCAATCAAAGTTTGTTCATTTTTGTTGAAATTGAAAATAAAAATATTTATATTAATTTGGAGCATATTACTTTATATCATTTAAAACATAATTTACGAAAGGTACATAACGTTACTGCTTTGTGTTTTGTTTAAAGAAAAATGGATACAAAAAATTTATGTAGTTATAAATGCTAAACTACTTTATCATTTACAAAAGCATTTTCTATTCTATTTTTAAAAATCATAATAGCGCTAACAGTATGTTAATGTCAAATTTATTATTACTTTTAAAAAATCGGATTATAATAAAAATAATATCTTAATTTATTTGAATTGGAATGATCCAATGTTTTTTTTCTAAATTTTTTCTTATTTTGTCATTATTCTTTTATAAATATCACAATTACAAGGAAGATTTTTACATATTAATAGAACCTTCTTTTGCACACACAACAAAGAAATATTTACAATAAATCTCTTTTTAACAAGACATTTTAAAATAAAATAAAGAAGACAAAATAAATTACAAAAATCAAGGACTTACACATATTTTTTCAATACGTAATATATTACATAATTGTAGAAAATATTTTGCATTAAAAACATACTATTGATGTGCAGTGTTGTTCACATTATTTTTTGAACAATGTTCTTTCAGAAGTAGTGGTTAATTCATGCATTAAACCAAAGTTCTCAACTCTTGAAAGGTATATTTCATATGTTAAATTTGATATATAATAGCATTACATACTTTTTCTAAAGATTTACATTGCTTCTGAATATATGCATAGAGCAAGAATTAAATTTTTAATTTCTTTAAAGGAATAAACAAATATCTGTTTAAACACTGACCCATGTCTGCTCTGTTATATAGCACGATCTATATTATTAATATTTTTTGCACAGAAATGAGTATTATAAATTGCAAAATTTATTTGAAAATGATTAATTTAAAAGTGATATCTATTACTTTTATGCTCCAATAGCATAAATTTTAAATAACTGGTATAAAATATTTTTTGTATAACATTTTGATTGTATGTTTTTCTTTTCTTTGTTTTCTTCTATGTATAGTACTTATAGCTTTGTAGTTTGTATACATATTTGTATAAAAGAAAAAAGAAAAAAAAAGGAAAAACTTTTTATGATTGTAGATCGTTTAAAAGAGCACCATGGCTTCAGTCTACACAGACAGTCCTTGGAAGTCTCAACATATCCCATTTTAAACATCATTACAACAGGAATGTTGCTGAACAATGAAACCTATAATTTTAGTATATAAAAGTAATTTGAAATTAAACAGTTATTATATAATACACACATAATTATGCTACTAATGCTATTCATATTATTGTATATATTTAGCAAAATAGGAGACCAGACAGTAAATAGTTTATCTCGAACCCATTGTCATCTGGGAGTAGATTCCGTCTGCCTAACTCTGTCAAACTGACGACGATAATGAGCTCGTCCGCGACCTCTATTTCGATGACCATGATTATTATGGCCATGATAATTATGATGTAGTTGTCTTGATTGATAGTGAGCATGATTCTGTGTCTGTGAAGATTGTTTTGATTGTGGCATTTGCTAAAGGAAATATTTTATCATTAAAATGTTAAAACTAAAAATGCAAAATTACAAATTGTAAAACTTATATATTGATAGCTACATATATTTTCATTAACACGTAAAACAATTTGTAAAAATTACACAAACATACCATATGATTAACAGGTTGCATATTTTGGTTTGAATAAGCATTTAAACTGGTTCCTGGAGGATTGGGTCCATCAGTAGTAGCGCCAGGTTCGTCTTCTGTTCTAACCAATGTTTTTACACCTTCGGCTTCTAAATCAATTATACCACCCCTTTGTTGTTGCCTCAAAAACAATGCTGCCATTTGTTTTTGTAATTCTCTCAACTCTGTAGTTACTGAAAAATCGATAGCAGCTTCAACATCAATTGGAGGAGGAGCAGACCATAAACTTTCAACATCGCAATTGATGGATTCTCTGCACACAGGGCATATGGCCTAAAATAAAATATTATATTTAGTGGTAACTAAGATTATTAGAAATATATATTAATAATAATTTAGTCTCATATTCATAACTAAATAATAATAGTATAATAGTATACCTGGAATTTATTGGTAGCATCTTGCTGCCATTGTGGCAATTTTTCTTGTTCTTCTCTATAATATCGTTCTGCAGCAGCAATGTGTGCTGCTAAGCAATGTGAATGAAAGTAATGATAACATTCAGTTTTTGTAAATTCATCTCCTTCCCGAAAACCATACAAACATATGGCACATTGATCCGTTGGAAGATTACTTCTCGTAAGGTGTTCTCTTATTAACTGTTGTAATAATATCATTTTAATAATAGTCAATAAAATAATAGTTATAGTAGAATAATAATAACATAATAATATCTATAATAAGCCATAAATATAAAAAATTCTGAAGTAACTAAAATACATTCAAAAATAATATAATAAAATTTAAATATATTTCTTATACATACATTTTACATAAGCTTAATGTATATTTTAACATATTTTATTATTTTTAAGCATATTAATTATAATCTTTCACAGAGTTAAACCTTAAATGTATGATACATACCTCAATGAGTTCAAACATAACTGGTTGACCTATGAAATCCTTACACTTTGCTTCTGCATCTGATTGCATAAGTCTCACTGTATTCTCATCTAAACCTCTAGGATTTCTGAGACTAATAGTAGGTGATATATCAGGGTATCCTATAGGCAATTGAACAATCAGTGTTACACAAACATATTGAGACTGTGAATCTTCACCAGTTGAAGGAAATAACACAGTTTCAATACATTCTGGTTCGCCTCTGGAAAAATACGATTTTTTATAACACATTTATAAAAAGACAAATTATGAATAATTATATATATATAACATAACTATAAAATAATTATAAAATAATTATATATATATAACATTAATAAATACAAATAAATTATGAAGTGTTAAAAATATCAGACTTTTTGCTCCATAATTTACATTGTAATTGTCATATAATATTGTTTTTCAAATTTACATATCATTAAAAAGATAAATATACACGATAATTTTTTATTTCATAATTAAAAGTCTTTTTTTTGAAGTAAGTATAAATAATTTAAATATTAAATTCAATACTACTTCATTGACGAAAACAAATATTTTTATTACAGATGACATTTTCTAACAATAAATGATCTGTAATTAAAAGTCTCAAAATGACAATTGATTTAATTCATTTATTAGGTTACAGACATTAGATACTCTAAAGAAAATAACTTACCTGTCATTTTCCTTTATGTTTAATTCATCGTCAAGCAAAATCGCTTTCAATGCTGCAATTTCGTCTGTTACTCTGCAAAATATTTATAACATACAATGCAAAAAAATGAAATATTCGTCGAAAATACATTTAACGTAAGATCTTTCTCAAAAATTACCTTTCATCTATTACTATCTCTGACATTGTTCCTAAAATAATAATATATCTCACTCTTGTGAAAATTAGTTTGGATTCAATAGCAGAATTTTTTTCAGTCTTCGACGATTACAGGACTCTCGATAAGCGTCAATGTGCGTCAATATTGAAAGCCTTCTGCTACAATTACTGCTACCAACTGGATCGCTCCAGAATTATTAGTAACATATTACTACATTACTAAGGAAAATTTCACTAAAGAAAGAGTAATTTAATTTTTTAGTGATAAATAAAAAAGTTTATTGTTTTTTTTGTATATCTTTGATGTAACAATATACAATAACACGTAATTTACCTAATGTATTGGAATATATCATAGTGAAATCTTTTGTTTAGTAATTTCAATTAAGTTGATGAAATTTTGTTAAAATAAACTCACTACTACTATTTATAAATAAATAAACCTAAAGATAAATTTTTCTTTAAAACTTGTTTTCTTTAAAACTTTCTGTAAAACTTGTAATAATTTGTCGATCGTTAAAAATACTAAGATACGTAAATTCATGTATATAAATATAGTGAACAAAATT